GAAATCAATGATATTGTTCTATAGTTTCCACACTCTGTTGGGTCACCCTTCTTTGGGATGGGAACAAATATAGATTCTTCCAGTCAGTTGGCCAAGTGGTTGTTCTCCAGATTTCTTGGCACAACTTGGTGAGCACATCCAGGGCAGCATCTGTTAAGCTGAAATATATCAGTTGGTATACCATGTATTTATTCCTGGGCCTTATTTTCTGCTATTTCCTTCAAAGCAGCTTGAACTTCATCACTATATATATTTTTTTCTTCTTTTTTTATTTATATATATATATATATATATATATACACAATTTACATAAATATTTTACATATATTTTAATTTTATATATATATATGTGTGTGTGTGTGTAAAAAGTGTATATGTGTGTAAATATGTTTGCAATAACCAGACCATATCCTGTGGTAACATTAAACTTTGTTCTATGCAATAGCTGGAAATTAGCCTTATAGACTTCTCAACTCTCCTTCCATAATTGTGTCCTATTATTCAAACCATCTCCCCATCCCAGTCTACAAGCACACGTGACCATCTCTGGCAGAGCCAAGCACGTGGATGGAACTCAATACAATGGACTAAGCTGTTAAGCAAAATTGTAAATGACAGCCTCCCACTCACTTGTTCTCATCTAGACCAATCTCGTCATGCTTTCATACCTTGATTTGTCTTCTGCCAAGTGGTAGCAACAATACTTGCCTCCTCATCACATCATGAGGTTAATTGTGTGAATTAATTATTGTGTTTGTAAAGTGATGTAGGTTTGAATGAAGATCTATGTGAATGCAAATACTAATAATTAGAGCTCTTTTATAAATTATGTAAATCCCCAAGAAAACATTTCAAATTATATGAGGCCTCAGTTTACATTCACATCTGTGCCCCTGGGCCTCTAACTACTTAGGGTAGAAATCCAGATCCAGTTCTCTGCTTTGATGTTCTCCTCCTCCTCCATAAACATCTTTGTGTAGGGATCTTCAGGACAATGCAAGAAGTTAATGCTAGTTGAAGTTTGTTTACCACTCAGTATTACCATTTATTGTTGTTCTTGTGTATCACTGACTTGGAACTGCCTCATAGCTAAACCTCCAGCACCTTTCCAGAAGCTATAAATTGTGTGGGAAAAGGTTGCCCATCTGTCTCTCCTGGAATAGCTAGCTGGTGGATTAATTGTCTGTTTTTAGGTTGACAGCACAACTCCTTACCACAACATCACCATTACTCTCTAGAAGCCATTTAAAGAAACCAGAGAAGAAAAGAGAAATAATCTTTTGAATGAAAAAGTAATCTCAAAAAGCTGTGAATTGGGTTTTTAGAATTGAATAATGTATTCTCCAGTTTAAAATGTGATTGTGAATTTCTTTCCCCCGATACTTATTTTCTAAATAACAGCACAGATTATATGTTTAAAGTAGAAGTGGTTATATTTAAGTTGCATAGTATCTGACTCTTTCCAGATACGATCAGATGAGAGTTTTATCTTTCTAACTTCCTCCATGTTTCTGTTTGACTGTTTGCCCCATTCATCTTAGTCCTATCCACCTTTTCATAAAATCTGTGCATTGCTCTCAGAAGGGGCATTGCATCCATGTAGAGAGATCAAGAGATTTTTACAAAACTTACCCTCAAACACTCCTTGAAACAGCCACATCACCACATTCTAGCCTCCAAGTAATTTTCAATAATCTTTTTCAGTCAAGTCATGGTGGTAGTTTGATAGTTTGAGGCATTTCGAAGCACTTGAAAATGGCCTGAATGAAATATTTGAAGGTAGACTGCTATGCTTTTCCTCATTTTAAGGGAGGAGCTCTTCTGGCTGTCACTGCAGACTCTAGCAGCTGGCATATTCACTGCCCATGGTGACAGTGTGACCTGTTCTGCTCTTGTGTAAAGCTGGTTTTATCTAGGAATCTTTCAAAAAGAATGTGCAAAAGCCCCCATGTTAAAACAGTGTTCAAGAAGTGTTGTGGTGGTGTTGTGTACCTTAGAGTTGGAACCGACCTAGCTGACCCTCCAGCGGGTTTTAAGATGCAGTTAATCATATGGGATGAGATTGCCCATCCTTCTGCAGCGTAGCTGGTGGCCTGGAGCTATGTGCCTCCAGGATTTCAGCACAGCTTCTTGCTACTAGACCATCAAACAGTGTAGACTTGTTATTGTTGTTGTTATGTGCCAAGTCCCTTGCAACTCACAGCGACCCTATGTGCAACAGCCCTAAACCCTGCTCTATCCTGTGCCAATTGCACTGTCTCTGACACACCCATCCTGATTACCCCAGTCACTGAATCAATCCACCTCATAGAGGGTCTTCCCCTCTTGCGCTGTCCCTCCGCCCTCCCAAGCATGATGTCTGTCTCCAAAGACCTGTCCCTCCTTACACCATGTCCAAAGTATGGCAGAATCAGGATTGATGGTGAAGCGATTGAGATTGTTCACAGCTTTAGTTTGCTTGGCTCCACAGTCAACACTCTTG